TTTATTCCATGGCATGACAAGCATTTCTAAAAACGTCATCTTTTTCCTGTAGGTTTTCTGAACCGCCGCTGCTTCTGGTGTCTCTGGATGGATTCAGGGCAGGATACATGGAGGCCTACAGCAGCCTGCTTCCTGTCATCAACAAACTCCGTATGTCAGAGTCTGACCCTGACTATAGAATTATGTCTGCCATATCTGTTAGGGGCATCTAATGAACATTTTTAATTGACTTGTGTTTAAAATGTCTTAACATTTGTCAGTCTGATAAATTAATTCATTTCTGAGTCAAATTCATCTTATAAGAGAACTGGTGTATTAAAACCAACTGATACATCTCTTCATAAAGTGAAGTAGGATGAATTATAATACTCACTGGTCTAAACCAGTGGTTCTCAACTCTTTTTCACTCCAAGGTCCCCCATTGTCCACAACAATATTCCAATATTTCCCCCATGTAGACTAATAGGTTTCTTCTGGTACATCTGCTGTAATAATACAGTTTTTTTTTTAAATGACCAAAACTAGTAGCATCCATATATTAAAACAAGTCATAATAATTCATAAGTATTATTAAGATTAAAATAATTATGTTTTAGAATTCCAGAAATTTTAAGAGCCGAATGTCCTTTAGGAATCTTACTCTTTTACCTAACAAATTTTTATGAATTTTCTAGTCGTTCATGATTTACTGGATAAGTACTTTTATTGTTTACTCACAAATTTTACCTGATAAAATGTTGTTGAGTTTGACATAACTAGAACATTTAACTATTAAAACTATTAAATTATACATAACTATTAAAATCCCAATTGCATTTAAGATCTTATTCATTTGCATGACTTTTCCAGGTCTAGAAGTCATATTTTTAAATTTAGGCTACTTCATATATCCAGATTTTTTCAGTTTTATTGGTGGTTTTGTCTTATTTAAAAAAAAAGTCATCCTGAATCCCCCTTGGAATGTTTGTGAGATGGGCCCCCTGGTTGTGAACTACTGGTATAAATTAAAGGGGTCATATGACGTTGCTAAAAAGAACATTATGTTGTGTATTTGGTGTAATGAAATGTTTATGCGGTTTAAGGTTCAAAAAACACATTATTTCCCACATACTGTACATTATTGTTGCTCCTCTATGCCCCGCCTTTCTGAAATGGGTCGATTTTTACAAAGCTCATCATTCTGAAAAGCGAGGTGTGCTCTGATTGGCCAGCTATCCAGTGCATTATGATTGGCTGAATACCTCAAGCGTGTGACGGAAATGTTACACCCCTTACCATACTGTGTTTCCATGTGTCCCGGAGCGACGAGACAAAAACAATAAAACCCATTACAAAGGAGGCATTTGTTGCATCCAGTGGGGACATAATTACTGATCATAATGACTTATACTGTCTTTTTACACGTTGCATTGCGTATCGCGCCACGTAAACATAAAACCATGTCTGCATTTGTGATCGGAGAAACGACAAACAACAAGCGCTACTCTACACTGCTCAAAGTCGCATTTGAATCATCAGTGGTAAATCCTTTAAATATAAAAAATGTACTTACAGGCTGTGATCAGAAGTGCCAGACTGTCCTTGCAAAGTTGGAACTGCCCCACTTTATAGAACACCCTTTGAGCACAGACCCATTGTAGGCTACTCTGCAGGTTCAGCAAACAGTCCTCCATAAATTGCGGGCTACAGTGAGCGGTGGCGGGCTTGCGGCAACCACATGTGATGACCCCGGGCTGGACTCCACTTCGTCCACGGTGAAAGCCGATCTGGCCATCCACAGTGTGAAGTTGATGTATTTCCTCAGCGACCAGCACACTTGAAATCGCATCATATGACCCCTTTAATATAAAAAATATATATATTAAATTAAAAAACTTAAGATTCGGTGGTTAACCTCATCTTGTTTCTTCAGGGAAATGTGGGACCTCCACACCCTATATGCGACCTGCTTATCCCACCAAGACCTTCCCAAATCATTACACCATAGTGACAGTAAGTGACAGGTAGAAATTAAGCCACAATTGCTCTTAGAGAACTACATATACATGTCAAAATGTAATGGCCATTATCATTTTTGCTTTCTTTAGTAGACAGTTTTTATGTGTTTGATTTGAATCACTTACTGTTTACATCAGTGAAGATAAGACTATCAGTTTTATTAAGTGTTCATTTTGGACTCTGGTTTTAGAGTAACCTTCCAGTTTATTATTTGAACCTCAGTAGTTGTTAGTTGTGCCACCACTTTTTTTGCAGTTCCTATAAAAAAAGGCTGACAATTATATCAATTACTGTTAGTTCCAATGTTAACTTGCTTTGCTCCTGCTTTCTAATGAGTGAAATAATGCTTTTTTTAAAAATGTTTTTCTTTTGCAGGGTCTTTATCCAGAATCACATGGAATTGTGGACAATAAGATGTATGATGTCACTCGCAATGCCTCTTTCAGTTTGAAAATTGATGAGAAATTCAACCCTGCATGGTACCAGGGTGAACCAGTGAGTATTTAACACATCTGCAATAATCTAGATTTGTGATGATCTGTTTAATAAAGATTAGATAATTTTCTTGTGAAATCTTTAAACTCAATTTACATCCCCTCAGTTTGAATTTATTTATTTGTTTAGAAAGGTCTGGATAAGTAACTTAACTGATAACTAATTTGTTAGGATTTAGTGGGTAAATGTTAAGATAATTAACCATGGTTCATTATCATATTCTAATGGAAATAGAGTCATTACCATTAACAGTTACCTACTGTACATGACATTAAAATAATTAATTCACAAGAATTAGATGGAACAAGATACAAGCACTGCTTTTTATTCTGCTGTTAGTATTGGGATCCTGTGTAACTCTTCCTGTTTTTGATTCTTGTGGGATATGTTTCTGGAGTATAATGTCAGGAGCGTGTCATTTCTGTTTATAATCCTGGTGTGGGATCCAGAAGGCTTCTTACTTACTAGCAAGGTTTCCTTGATCAATCAGAAAGACCATGCTGGTTGACTATCATTTCTAGCAGTCAGACCAGCATTAGCCAACCTAAACCAACTTGGAAATTCAAGAACGCTGGAAATCTTTTCGGAAATATCACAGTCGGTCTTGGACTGTGACGACATAGTTTTAAAATAATACATCCTTACAAATTTCTGTTTGATGACCCATCAATTTCACCTTAGCTATTATTGATGTATTTTAAGAGATCATCAACCCAGAACAAATTTTGAGTCTTTAGCGCATTATGTAAACAGGAGTTGGTCCCCAGCATGGGATTCTGGTTTCTCCAGTAGGCTTTTTAGCTAGAACAATCAAGGTTTTCTTAATGAATAAGCTTCATCAGAAAGACAAATGCTGGTTGACCATCATGTTTAGCAGTCAGACCAGCATTAGCCAACCTAAGCAAACCTGGAAATCCATGAATGCATCCAGAAATCTTAGCAAATCCAATGCAAAATATGTTTTTCAGAAACGTCACAGTTGGACTGTGACCATCATAGTTCAATAACACACCCTTTCAGATTCCTAGTTGATGAGTCTCACATAGGCACTGTTTGAAGAGTCCTGATGTTCTTTTGGATCACAATCTTCTGGCCAAGGGTCAGAAATATCTGGTACCTGATGGAGCAGCTCCTGCTGTTGGTGATGTTTCATCATATACTCATCTGAACTGCCAGAATTCAGAGTGATGGAGTGGAATGTTCTTCAAGTTCATGTGGTAGAATTCGTCCAGATTTCTTGCTGAATCAGGGTGGAACGAAAGGAAAGTCACACCCATCTTCTGGCAGCACCCTTATCATGTTTCTCTTTAGAGTTTGCCAAGATAGCTGTTTGAGGTTAATGCAGATGTTTAACTCAAATGATGCAACCAAATTAAGAGCATACATGGATTAAAACTTACAAGTGATTACGAAACCCTTAGTGTGAACTTTACATCCTAATTTAAGAAGGACCTTTCAAATGACTTATGGTGGTGACCTTACCATCTATTTCAGACTTGGAATCTTCTGCGCATGTAAGCAGATGTTTAGAGTGATGGAGTGGAATGTTCTTCAAGTTCATGTGGTAGAATTCGTCCAGATTTCTTGCTGTATCAGGGTGGAACGAAAGGAAAGTCACACCCATCTTCTGGCAGCACCCTTATCATGTTTCTCTTTAGAGTTTGCCAAGATAGCTGTTTGAGGTTAATGCAGATGTTTAACTCAAATGATGCAACCAAATTAAGAGCATACATGGATTAAAACTTACAAGTGATTACGAAACCCTTAGTGTGAACTTTACATCCTAATTTAAGAAGGACCTTTCAAATGACTTATGGTGGTGACCTTACCATCTATTTCAGACTTGGAATCTTCTGCGCATGTAAGCAGATGTTGTCCCCACCCCAATATGAGATGCTGGTTTCTCCAGCAGGCTTATTAACTAGCTTGAACCAGCAAGGTTTCCTTGATCAACCAGCTTCATCAGAAAGACCATTCTGATTGACCATCATTTCTACCAGTCAGACCAGCCAACCTAGATCAACCTGGGAATTCATGAATGCTTCCAGGAATCTATGGAAAGCCAATACATTTGGGCTTAGATAATTCTTCAATAACACATTACCTCAAATTCCTGTTTTATGACCCATCATTGAGCCTAAAGCTTTGTTTAAAGAGGCATGATGTTCTTTTTGATCACACTATTTTGAACAAGGGTCAAACCCCTCTTGAACCTGATGGAGCCATTGCATTATCTTACATCACATCAATACTTTTATTGTCATGAAAAAGTGTGATGGAGTGGAACTTCTTCTACCACAAGTTTTTTTTTGTGGTATAATTCTTCCAATTTGCTTTCTATATGAGGGAGGGACAAGAGGAAAGTCCAGTACCAACCTTATCATCTTTCTTTTCAGCGTTCACCAAGATATCTGTTTGGCGGTAATGAAGGGTGGTGAAGAGATGTTTTACACAAATGGCGCAACTAAATTAAGAGCATACTAGGATTAAAACTAACAAGTAATTACTAAGCCCCTAGTGTGAACTTCACATCCTATTTTAAGAAGGACCTTGTGCAACCTGCATTGGCATGCATGCATTGTGATTAACATCCAAAATGCAACATACACTGAACAAAATTATAAATGCAACACTTTTGTTTTTGCTCTTATAATTTTGTTCAGTGTATGTTGGTGACCTTAACATCTATTGCAAAGTTGGAGTCTTTAGCGCAGTGTTTATGTAAACAGATGTTGGTCTCCAACATGAGATGCTGGTTTCTCCAGCAGGCTTCTTAACTAGCTTGAACTAGCAAGGTTTCCATGACCAGCCAACCTTTCAAATTGGGAATTCACGAATGCTTCCAGGAATCTTTGGAAAGCCAATGCAATTGGGCTTAGATTGTTACTGTCATAATTCTTTAATAACAGATTACATTTACATTTATTAATTTAGCAGATGCTTTTATCCAAAGCGACTTACAATTGGACAGATCCCTTCAAATTCCTGTTTAATGACCCATCCTTGAGCCTCAGGAAAGCACTGCTTGAAGAGGACTGATGTTGATGATCCTGTGGAACCTGATGGAATTGCATAAACTTGCCTTTGGTTTTGTTGTCATTATGAGTGGAACTTTCTTCCCAACTGTTTTCTGTATCAGGACAGCACAAGAAGAAAGTCTGGTACCACCCGTGTCATTCTCTTCAGAGTTCAGCAAGACAGCTGTTTTGGGGAAAACACAGATGTTTAACACTCGGCAACCTATTCACATTTGCAAACAAATGGGCAGCAAATAGTCAAAAAATGCCAGAGCACAAGGTGTTTCTGTGGTGGGCATCTGAAATCGTGAACATCCAAGATCTATAGCAAAGTTTTTGTTTTCCTGATTAACTTTCCTATGTCCTAGTTGGTGATGGACAGGGTTTCTGAGGTTCCTTCTGCGCCATGCCCTTTTGCTTTGCCCCGTCCATGGTGCTGAAATGATGCAGCGTAAAACCTTCTAGTAGGAGATACTGGGATTTGCTTTTGAAAAGAGGCAGCAGTTGGCATTTGAGACTCAAACTAATGGTGATTTAAATGTGTGAGGCATTCACATTCAGTGGTAGCTGTGTTACAGGCTTTTACAGTAATTACAGAGACAGGCTTTGTGGTTTCTGACTTTAGGCATGCATGCTTGAATTTTTAGAGCTTCTTCATGACCATATGTATTAGCGACCATTTTAGTTTCTAATTTTGTCCTTACAAATGAACTGTGATTGAATGAAACAGGATTGCCAGTTCCTCAACCCAGGGTGATTATAGTTAACAAAAACTCAAAACATAATAATGTCTTCATTACTTGAAATAAAATACATAATAAAAATATATATATATATATATATATATTTATCACTGTCTTTGTACTGCGGCTCTCTCTCTCATCTCGCTTTTTTGCAGATGTTTGCTTTTGTGATTGTTAGTGGTGTTTTATCTTTTGTGAGCTACATCTTTTGTCAGCACTTTCATTCAGTTGTTCCTGTGATTGTCTTTAGGTTTGGCTCACAGCCATGAAAAACAAACTAAAAACAGCTACTTTCTTCTGGCCTGGATCCGATGTGAAAGTCAATGGACATTTCCCAGATTACTGGGTGAAGTATGACAGGTGGATATTTACAATACCGTATTTTTTTAAAAACGGTTATTAACTGGATTTTAGGGTTGATTTAAGGGTTGTGGGGACTGACTATAATTCACATCTAAAACTAGCTATTAAGAGCAACACTTCATATTACACTAAATACAAAAGGTTGCCTCAAAGTTTGAAGCAGGTTACATAGGTAATGGATATGGAATATGGGCTTTTACTGAATTCAATAGAAGATATAAGTGATTTTAGAAACCGACATAAAAAATTGAGTTAAACTAGTTAAAATGGATGATATAATTTGTATTTCTTTAGGAACATCCCCTTTGAAAAGAGGGTGGCAAAAATCTTTGAATGGTTGCATTTACCTGAAGGAGAAAGGTAATGCTTTTTTAAAATGTATATTTATTTATTTTGGTTTGATTCTGCCTACACTGTAAAAACGGTAACTTGCAATTGTTAAGGTAAAGAGCTATTTCTACCTTATTTAGCTCATAACAATGTGTAAATTAATGTATTCAGGTTGATTAATTGATGTTAAATACTATTTTTGACTTGAATACAGTAAGTTAATTTAGATGTTATTTTTAATTTACAGTATATTCACTCTGTTTTAGGCCAGACTTTTACACCTTGTACTTAGAAGAGCCTGATTCTGCAGGTCATCGACATGGACCAATGAGTAGCCAGGTAAACTGAAGACAAACCACATGTGGAAATAATTGACTAACTTCAATGTCAGTTTAGTTTGGGGGCAGATATCTGATTTAGGATATGAAACATTAAATGAACACAATCATTGTTATTTTTTGATGATGAAGTTTTGTTTCTTTGGGTGTTAGCACTCTTAAACTGTTCATAATCAGTATGAATTCCCCTGCTTTGGATTCTACTGATGAAATGTAAAACTGGATTTTTGCATTGCAGGTCATTGAGGCATTACTGAATGTCGACAGGCTTCTTGGGATGTTGATGGATGGTCTCGAGGAAAGACAGCTGCACAGATGTGTCAACCTGGTTCTGGTCTCTGACCACGGTGAGTACTGTGTGTCTTTCCGTTACAATTTAATTTGACCAAATCTGACTTTAAACTTGTATTGGCAACAGTTACAGTATAGTTGTATTTCAGGTTAAGTCAAATTTATTTGTATAGCACTTTTCACAATACACAGTGGGTCTCATTCACTAATAATTGTGTGGATTATTTTGTATTTGTATGCACAGGAGAATTCTCACGAAAAACCCGCTCCTAATTCACAACACGTTCGTACGTACATGAATTTGTTCTTAATCGTTCTGATGGTAGTGAATTTGGAGTATTCTAAATGAGTGGTTGCATGCACAAGGTTAGTCATTTGCATAAAACATGCTCAAACCATCTCCATATAAGGGCTTTCGGCACACGCTTTCCTTACAGCCTTTCATCACTCTCGTCAAACGTGCAGCAGTTTGCAGATGCGCTTTCGCATATAGAAGCTTGTTTCCGACACAGAACAAAACATCTGAAAAAAATAGTTGCGAGTTTTTGCAATTCTGACTTGTAAGATGTAAACTCGCAATTGTGAGGTAAAAAGTCCTCTTAACTTTTTATTAGAAGTTCGTAAATTTAGAATACATTTTTATTACGTCATTTTTGGTGAATCGTGATTTGCTCTTCAAATTTGTACACACGTTCGTACACACATTTCATGCACAAATTTGTGCGTACGCATGCTTGGTGAATGAGACCCATTGTTTTTAAAGCAGCTTTACAGAAATTACTGAATGTTTGTGTATAATATCTTCATGCTTTATATAACATAGTTTACATTTTGCAACGATACAAGCAATTCAAACAGTTGATATTTGCTGTATAGTTCATATTGGCCTACAGTATGTCAGTCAGTATACTGTATGTATGCGGATAAAATTATACAGTATACCCAATTTAAAGAGATGACTGCTAATATAGTCACATTTTGAAACAAAATATAAAATCAGGCAGTTGAGATTTGCTTTATGAAATGTATTGCATTGCATACCTGATAGTGAACTGTATAAAGTTGGATATAATATATATTCAACTTTACATATAATCTAAAAATAAAAATGGGGTACATTTAGAAAATCACGAAATATTCAATGAATAAAGTGATTACTGACATTTCATAATTTTCTTGGAATTTCAAGTATTTTATTATTGTTATTATTTTTAAATCTGATATGAACTTTTACCCAAATGTCACAGTCAGTCAGACATTAGTAAATATTTATTGGACTTTTGTATTCCCAGTTTTTATGAAAACAATTGCAGTCTGCAGTCCACTAACAGAAGTATTAAATCTGGCCATGTTTGAGCCACTGTAATATTAGAAGAGAAACTTTTTGTTGGAAAATTTGGATTAGACCGTGTTCCATAAAGCATTATCCATTATCAATTTAAAGAGAAAAGTACTTCCGTGACTTGAAATAACATAATAAAACACTTTAAACTAATTTTATTTTAAGCAGCCAGTTGCTTTATTTTATTTCATTTAGTTTAAATTGCTGGAGTAAAATAACTAAAACAAACTGAAAAAAAACAACACCAGACATTTTAATTAAAAATTAATAAAAATTACATGCACAGAACACAAATACTAAAACTTACTTGCAATTGTTAAGGTAAAGAGCTATTTCTACCTTATTTAGCTCATAACAATGTGTAAATTAATGTATTCAGGTTGATTAATTGATGTTAAATACTATTTTTGACTTGAATACAGTAAGTTAATTTAGATGTTATTTTTAATTTACAGTATATTCACTCTGTTTTAGGCCAGACTTTTACACCTTGTACTTCGAAGAGCCTGATTCTGCAGGTCATCGACATGGACCAATGAGTAGCCAGGTAAACTGAAGACAAACCACATGTGGAAATAATTGACTAACTTCAATGTCAGTTTAGTTTGGGGGCAGATATCTGATTTAGGATATGAAACATTAAATGAACACAATCATTGTTATTTTTTGTTGATGAAGTTTTGTTTCTTTGGGTGTTAAACTGTTCATAATCAGTATGAATTCCCCTGCTTTGGATTCTACTGATGAAATGTAAAACTGGATTTTTGCATTGCAGGTCATTGAGGCTTTACTGAATGTCGACAGGCTTCTTGGGATGTTGATGGATGGTCTCGAGGAAAGACAGCTGCACAGATGTGTCAACCTGGTTCTGGTCTCTGACCACGGTGAGTACTGTGTGTCTTTCCGTTACACTTTAATTTGACCAAATCTGACTTTAAACTTGTATTGGCAACAGTTACAGTATAGTTGTATTTCAGGTTAAGTCAAATTTATTTGTATAGCACTTTTCACAATACATAGTGGGTCTCATTCACTAATAATTGTGTGGATTATTTTGTATTTGTATGCACAGGAGAATTCTCACGAAAAACCCGCTCCTAATTCACAACACGTTCGTACGTACATGAATTTGTTCTTAATCGTTCTGATGGTAGTGAATTTGGAGTATTCTAAATGGGTGGTTGCATGCACAAGGTTAGTCATTTGCATAAAACATGCCCAAACCATCTCCATATAAGGGCTTTCGGCACACGCTTTCCTTACAGCCTTTCATCACTCTCGTCAAACGTGCAGCAGTTTGCAGACGCGCTTTCGCATATAGAAGCTTGTTTCCGACACAGAACAAAACATCTGAAAAAAATAGTTGCGAGTTTTTGCAATTCTGACTTGTAAGATGTAAACTCGCAATTGTGAGGTAAAAAGTCCTCTTAACTTTTTATTAGAAGTTCGTAAATTTAGAATACATTTTTATTACGTCATTTTTGGTGAATCGTGATTTGCTCTTCAAATTTGTACACACGTTCGTACACACATTTCATGCACAAATTTGTGCGTACGCATGCTTGGTGAATGAGACCCATTGTTTTTAAAGCAGCTTTACAGAAATTACTGAATGTTTGTGTATAATATCTTCATGCTTTATATAACATAGTTTACATTTTGCAACGATACAAGCAATTCAAACAGTTGATATTTGCTGTATAGTTCATATTGGCCTACAGTATGTCAGTCAGTATACTGTATGTATGCGGATAAAATTATACAGTATACCCAATTTAAAGAGATGACTGCTAATATAGTCACATTTTGAAACAAAATATAAAATCAGGCAGTTGAGATTTGCTTTATGAAATGTATTGCATTGCATACCTGATAGTGAACTGTATAAAGTTGGATATAATATATATTCAACTTTACATATAATCTAAAAATAAAAATGGGGTACATTTAGAAAATCACGAAATATTCAATGAATAAAGTGATTACTGACATTTCATAATTTTCTTGGAATTTCAAGTATTTTATTATTGTTATTATTTTTAAATCTGATATGAACTTTTACCCAAATGTCACAGTCAGTCAGACATTAGTAAATATTTATTGGACTTTTGTATTCCCAGTTTTTATGAAAACAATTGCAGTCTGCAGTCCACTAACAGAAGTATTAAATCTGGCCATGTTTGAGCCACTGTAATATTAGAAGAGAAACTTTTTGTTGGAAAATTTGGATTAGACCGTGTTCCATAAAGCATTATCCATTATCAATTTAAAGAGAAAAGTACTTCCGTGACTTGAAATAACATAATAAAACACTTTAAACTAATTTTATTTTAAGCAGCCAGTTGCTTTATTTTATTTCATTTAGTTTAAATTGCTGGAGTAAAATAACTAAAACAAACTGAAAAAAAACAACACCAGACATTTTAATTAAAAATTAATAAAAATTACATGCACAGAACACATACTAAAACTTAAAGTCCACATGAAATCAAAATGGACTTTATTTACTTTACTAGCGCACATTGCTAGTCTTGATGTGAACAATTAATCCGTGCAAGCTAATCCTCTGAAAAAAATTGTTTGTCTTGGTAATCTTTAATCAAAATCTGAACATTTGCTTCCGCTCTGGAATGGCATTCCTTGCCTGATGACGTCAGTTTGACGGCTTGGGCAGAATATCCTTAAACACACCCCTCCAGCCGTTAGATTGCTATGAGTGAGAGACCGAGAGGAGGAGCGCAAAAATAAAACCACGCCCTCTATTCAATATTCCGTTTCTGATGGAAATACGTCACTGCACTGAAATAAAGTCGGCAGCAACATCCGGTTCACTCGGACTTTAAAGGTCCCCTGAAGTGCCTTGCAGCATTATTCTATGTGGTGACCTAATTTCAACTGAAACAGGAAGAGAGGGCGGGACATATCAAGCAGCCCCGCCCCCTTTTTAAATTAGCGAATAGCGTTTAGTTTATATCTGCTCGGGCCAGAGACGTTGAGCTTGGTAAAGCGTTATTTGACAGCCACAGTCTAATGGATTACCCCTTAGATTCAATATGAAACTCTTAGTAAAACAAAATAGTGATCATAATCATGCTGAGGCTGTGTAGTTTTAAAAGTTTTTAATATATGCCGACTCGCGCATATGATCGATGGAGCCAGAGTCCAGATCAGACTGTGTGCACTGCCGCGGTTCGCGCGAAACAATGTGAAACCAGACCTCATTTGCACCAATCAAAAGCATATTTACACTGTCTGAATCGTTCCCTATCGCCTACATTGTGCACTTCGAGCCATTCACCGTACAGGAAATACTACACTGTGCAGGAAATACTACACTGTGAACAAGCGACTGATCTTAGCCGCAGCTTCAGCGTCTATTTTATAGTGTAGGGGGTGGGAGCTTCGGCTTCTAGAGAGCGTTTGATTGGTTGATTGATTTGATGAGAAGATGAAGTACGATGTGACGTCAAAAAAATCGTTGAGCCATTTTGGCGGAAGTGACAAACTGCAAGCTTTGAATGCTTATATCTTCTATAAGAAACTTCTATAAGCTAGTTTTGGAGCACACTGCCTTATAGATAACCTTAAGACTAACATATTGATACTAACACCCAAAAAACTTTAATTTTGATTTCATGGGGACTTTAAAAAGTAAAATAAAAACAGAAAATATAAAAATAATAACTAATTAAATATGATAATAGTATCTCAGTGATACGAAAATAACACTGGTTCCCACCTATCTGGGTGGGCACAGAAGTTCTTGAGCAGTGACATCTGCTTGACGTGTGTCTTCATTTGTAATTAGGGCAAATTAAAGGCGTGTGGGATTGCACATGTGTCTCCTGAACTTGGAGTAAGCCATGAGGCCTGCTAGCATGCTAATTTTGACTCTTGGGTTTTTTTATTGTCTGTGCCGCTCTGCCTTTGTGGTTGGAGTGATTGTGAAAACATATTGAGCTTGTATGTTTTTAACTTCTGTTGCATCACTGATGTTTAATTAGTACCCGCTCAAGAATATAATGAAAGACTTGGAGGGTTGGCTGTAAGCCTTGCTGTCAGTGAATTATATGCTTTTTTGACACTTCAGTGAGAGGAAAAAAAATGTAATTTTATAATCTACTGTGAATTAATACAGTGAGAACATCACTTGGACTTAATGTTTTTGATTCATTACCCAAAGATGTACAGTACTCACTTATTTTACTTAGAAAGAAAGAATTCATTCTGGTTTGGGTGAGTAAATCATGAGAGAATTGTTTGGGTGAACTATTCCTTTAAGCACAACTGAATGAGCAATCTGTGAAATATAGTTCATTTTGAACACTTGATTTGCAGGGATGGAAGAAGCGTCATGCAAGAAAGCTGCGTATGTCTCGGACTATCTGGAAAACATCGATGACATCACTGTCATCCAGGGTCCTGCAGCGAGAGTCCGTCCCAAACGTTTGCCTGATGAATTCTTCTCCTGTAAGCGAACAGATTTGACCCACCATACATGTCTTTGTATTTGAGGGTTTCTCCAACTATAGACACTTTTGTGTCACAGCAGTTGATTTTTATTTATTAAAACTAGCAGGTTTATGGTATAAAGGCTGCATTAGCTATAAAATGACTTATGGTTAATTTTTACTGGTTTTCATATATCAATAATATCATATAATATATATCATATAACGATATATTTGCTGGTTTTCAATATCTCTTGAAACATGTCAATATCTACGGAGCCCCGCACATGGCATGCAGGAAAAAAATAGTATGCTAAATCGTGTGCACGATTTACTATTTCGTTCCCTCGATTTATAAATTGTGCACACGATTTACTAATTCGTTCCCTCGATTTATAAATTGTGCACATGATTTACTAATTCGTTCCCTCAATTTACTAATTCGTTCCCTCAATTTATAAATTGTGCACACGATTTACTAATTCGTTCCATTAATTTGCTAATTCGTTCCCTCGATTTATGAATTGTGCACACGATTTACTATTTTGTTCCCTCGATTTGCTAATTCGTTCCCTCGATTTATGAATTGTGCACACGATTTACTATTTCGTTCCCTCGATTTGCTAATTCGTTCCTTCGATTTATAAATTGTGCACACGATTTACTAATTTGTTCCCTTAATTTGCTAATTCGTTCCCTCGATTTATTAATTGTGCACACGATTTACTAATTTGTTCCCTCGATTTATAAATTGTGCACACGATTTACTAATTTGTTCCCTTAATTTGCTAATTCGTTCCCTCGATTTATGAATTGTGCACACGATTTACTATTTTGTTCCCTCGATTTGCTAATTCGTTCCTTCGATTTATAAATTGTGCACACGATTTACTAATTTGTTCCCTTAATTTGCTAATTCGTTCCCTCGATTTATAAATTGTGCACACGATTTACTATTTCGTTCCCTCGATTTGCTAATTCGTTCCTTCGATTTATAAATTGTGCACACGATTTACTAATTCGTTCCCTCAATTTGCTAATTCGTTCCCTCGATTTATAAATTGTGCACACGATTTACAAATTCATTCCCTCGATTTGCTAATTCATTCCCTCGATTTATAAATTGTGCACACGATTTATAAATCGAGAGAACGAATTGGTAAATTGTGCGCACGATTTAGCAAATCGAGGGAACTAAATAGTTATTGTGTGCACGTTTTAGTACATCGAGGGAACAAATTAGGAAATCGTGCGCACGATTTATTTATTTTTTCTTGCATGTCATGTGCGGGGCTCTGTAAATATCTGCATAATGTGACATGAATTTATATACATTTTTACACAAATTGCAGCCAATTTCCACTGTGACCAACAATTTTGTTCCTAGTGAAGTTTTATCAAAAGTTAGTGTACTTGTTGTACAGTGAAAAACTTGGGCTGAAATATGATGCAAAGTTTGGGGTCAGTAAGTAAATAAATTTACTTTTAAAATAAATAAATCAGCAAGGTTCTATTAAAATGATCAATAGTGATGGTAAAAATTAAAATTTTTGCAGATATATTCTGCTGCAAATGCTGTTCTTTTTAAGGTGCACAATTGTTTTCAGTATTGATAAAAAATTATAATAATGTGTTTTTGAGCAGCAAATCAGCATATTAGAATGATTTCTGAAGGATCATGTGACAGCTTTGCATAAGAGGAATAAATTACATTTATAAAAAAAAATATATATATATATATATATAAATATATAAAATTTTGTAATATTTTACAACTGGTCTAAAGTTACTATAGTTGAAGAAACACCCATTTATAAAAAGTGTTTTGTTCATTAAATGCATCTCTTCTCTTTCCCTGTATTCATCTGGCAGTTGATTATGAAAGTCTGGTGAAGAATCTTTCGGTACGACCCTGTCACAACATCCCCATACCTCAATTACAGACCATATCTTCTACTTAATCATGTTGAAATCTTTATTCTGTCCTTTTTTCTTTCTGTGTTTGAAGTGCAGAGAACCTGATCAGCCGATGAGGCCGTATCTGAAGGAGCATCTGCCCAAACGGCTTCACTTTGCCAGTAACATCCGAATAGAGAGAGCACATCTCTACATGCAGCCCGGCTGGCAAGCAGCACTGTGAGTTTGAGCTTTGGGACGCCACATCTGATGCTTGTCGTGTCAAAATGAGTGCTCAAAAAATAAAATTGGTCTAAATTTAGGATTTATGTATTTGAATTGCATATAAAATGTCCATCCATTTGGATTATGCAGTTTTAAGATAAACGAATAAACTTAATGTAATTCATATTTGTAAGTCATACATATAAATGAAACAAACTGAATGTGTTTTAAATACACAATAACCAAGTTTATATATTTATTATCAATTTCTTTCAATCTCATACATTTTAACTAACTGAATATTTCTGTTAGTTTTATTGCTAGCCAAATTTTAACCATGTTCATGTTTGTTACTGATTTTTTTTTTTGATGTATTCTGATTCTAAATTTAGATGTATTCTGATTCTAATTAGTATTCTAAATGCATTTTGAGAAAAAGAAATATACGTCAAAATCAAATTGCTGCTAATAGATGATAAGGTAACACTTTATTTTAAGCTGTCCTTGTTACACGTTACATTTAATTACTATTATAATAACAATAAAGTATGCATAATGACATGGTCGTAACCCTAAACCAAACCCTAATATTAACCCTAACCATATAGTAAGTAGGCTACATGTAGTTAATTAATATTACTCAGTACTTAAATGTATAATTACATTGTAACAAGGATACCTTAAAATAAAGGGTTACACTTTATTTTAAGGTGTCCTTGTTACAGTGTAAATATACATTTAAGTACTGAGTAATATAAATTAACCACATGTACTTACTGTATGGCTCGGGTTAGGATTAGGGTTTGGCTTTGGGTTACTTGCATGTAATTATTCATAATTTATTGTTATTACAATAGTAAGTACATGTAACGTGTAACAAGGACATCTTAAAATAAAGTGTTACCAAATAAAGTGTAACCGATGATAATATATTAGAATGAAAAAAAAATAATAATTTATGTGTAGGATATGCATCACATTAAATTTAGTTTGTTAAAACGGTGTAATACAAATAGATAAATAAAATAAATAAAATAGAAAATATTTTATATGCAGTTCAAATGCATAAATTGTAAATCCAAGAAATAATCGTAAAACATTTTTTAAGCGTATAATGAAAGAATGTAATATCCCTTCAAGTATTAATGTGTTTATAAATCCATGAGTTTAACCTCTTGAAGTTTTTGATAATTCGGCAAACCTTTCTGTTCTTAAATGGTAACTAGAATTCGATTGAAGCATTTGAAGATTTTTTTTAATCAGCACTCAAGCTGGCATTTTCACAGTATTTTTCTCCCATCTTGATCTACAGCAAACCAAATGAAATTAAATACTGCAGGGGCGGCTTCCATGGTTCAGATAATGTCTTCAAGAACATGCAGGTTGGTGTTTAAAAGACTTTTATATTCAAAGGCACATGTCTTGCGTAATAGAAGTAAATGAATAAAAAAAATTGCACACTCATCTTGATAGTGATGCTATAGCACAGGGGTGCCCAAACTCGGTCCTGGAGGCCCGGTGTCCTGCAGAGTTTAGCTCCAGCTTGCCTCAACACACCTGCTTGGAAGTTTCTAGCATGCCTAGTAAGACCTTGATTAGCTGCTTCAGGTGTGTTTGATTAGAGTTGGAGCTAAACTCTGCAGGACACCGGCCCTCCAGGACCGAGTGTGGGCACCCCGATGATTTCTTACCAAAGTCTGATGTTACCAATAGATTGGCTTCACCCAAATGTGCAGTTCAAATGCCTTACTAAATCAATGTTTTAAAATACACTTTCTGGTAAGACTTTTGATTTGACATTATTACAAAGTGCACTTTTAAGAAACATCATCGTGAAAGTGTACTCAAAGTATACTTATTATTACTCGTATGGTGTTTTCTTCTCTTTCAGCTTTGCTTCCACACCATCAACATAACCCTCAACCACAAAATTAAGCATTATCCCTTAAATCCAGAGAAAATATTTCTTAAATCTGTCATAGACACCAGTAAATATTTATATCTTCAGTTTCTGCTTGAGGCTCTGTTCAAAGGCTTCTGTGCTGCAGTGTAATGAGGTTTAGTAGACCAAGAATCTTGATGGAGATTATACTAAATTCTTATTAAAGGATCAGAGTAAATTCCCATGAAGGGATTATATGATCCCTGGGGTCTTTCCACAAAAACGGAGAAAAATCCAGACATGCCCTTTAATTGAACTCCCGTCCATTGAATATAGCTTCTCCGTGCCAGATTCACACTTAGTAGTTCCTTCAAACTGGAAGGTGTTCAGATTGCAGTTTTAAACACACGCTCAACCCACACGTTGGACCTTTGACAGAGCCTTGTTTACGTCTGTGACTTGTGTGAGTTTCCAGCCATCTGCGCCCCCTGGTCTGTGTGGTTGTCTAGGAATGTCTAATGCATCTGGTAGGCTTTACAAAAACCTCTTACAGGAACTCTTATGAGGCAATGGTCTAACTGGTTGAGGTAAATTTGCACAAGGTAGTCACAACCACGGGGATGGTTATTATGGCAAGAGCTTTAATTTAGGCCATCTTCACATAAAGTGAAATCTCCTGTTAGGAGGAATGAAGATCATTTCCATCTTTGTGACTCCGTGTCAAGGAAATGAGATCAGTCTAGTTTCTAGTACTCAAATGTTTCAGCCAGAGGCAAGTGGAATGTGTGTCTCTCTGTGACTGCAAATCAAAATAAGTGGTTTTAGTTATTTTTAACTGTGGTCTGTGTTTTTGGAGCTGCCGTGGGTGTTTTGTTGTCATATCCAGGGGCCCCAAATAGTACTTGGACACTAAAGCCACACTTGAAGATGTCTAATTTTCATCACATTAGATAACAAAATGTTAAGTGGCATTTGCAAACAAATCTTCTCTATTTTTAATGACATATTAGGCAAAATATTAGACAAACACAGCTTTCAACAATTGAAACACAACTTTTTCAAACTTGACGACAACCAAATGGTGTGATTTAATGAATGAAATGTAACTGTTTGCAGGCCATTTTTATTGGATATGGACCAGGTATCCATTCTAAGACGAATGTGCTTCCCTTCGAGAACATTGAAGTCTACAACCTACTATGTGGTAAGTTTATTTTTCTGTGAAGTATCATGAAAGTTTGAAAGAGTTCCTTTAATCATATTTCATTGACATCCCTTATCTGCTATTGACGTTTTTGGTACTGTGCATATTCTTGTGTGCTAAATGCCCTTAAGCATTTAAGCATACTTTTAAAAAAGCAATATTAATTGCATGTTAATTGCAAATAAAATATAATATAGCTTAAATTTATATTAAATGCAATTAGCTGCTTTTTTAAACCACTTAAGTAGAACTTAAGTAATCTTTACATATAAATTCATATTTGCTTTTATTATCTTTGGTGAAAGCGTACAGCTTAATGTACTGACAAGTATTTATAGTAAACTAAAATATAATTTCTATTGAAACGTGTATGTCATGTATGTGAATACATTTGTAAAAAAAACACATTTGTAAAGATGAAGTTGCAAATAGTGCATTTATAATAGAATAATATACAGTATTATAACAATTAACTTTAAATGTAATATCAAATAAGACATTGCTGTTAAAATGACTGTATAATCAAAAATCATAGTCATGAAAGTGTACTCTCATTAAGTACACTCAGTACACAAGTACAGTTGTTTAAAATGTACCTTTAAGATTTGAAGTACACTACAAGTGCACATTCAATACGAAGCGTATTTCTTTTAATAAGGTTGCATAACTGCTGTTGAGATAAATGGGAATTTCACCTTTGTCCTAAATGTGCTGCTGATTGCAGCCATGTACTGTGTTTGATTCCTTCTCTTCATCTTTGATTTGGAACAAAGTGTATAATGTGTTATTTAAATTATGATGATTATGTTCACACAATCTTTATCACTCATAAAAAGTTTCTAAATCTAGCAACATACAGTATACTAACGCCAAATTGTCAGCCTTCGCATAGGATTGTGAGGTCTTGAGCTCATATTGGTTTAAATCCAAGAGAAGTCTTGTGGGAAATTGTGCAGAACAATGAGAGTCTTTTCTTTCAGTCACCATCTCCGTCATTCACAATCACTGCCAAAGACTTAATGACCCACTTCGAAGCAAAGTGGCCATCATTGGCAGCTTATTGTCTGACACCACTGTTGGGAAGTTACATAGTTAGTGACGCCACTAACTTATCTACATTTTTCCAGTGGGTGGCAAAAAAAAAAAAAACTATAAAAATCCTTAGCTTTACAGTCAAAAAAAAAACTGAGGTCATAAGCAAACACATCCGTATAATAATCCATTGTTGTTATAGAAGCAAGTCATTTTAATTTCAGTGAGTCACTTTGTTAAATGAACCCATTCAGAATTGATTCACCCAAGATTTGACATCATTGTTTTGGTAGCACTCCAACTACAGCATGATTGCAAGTGTGAACTTGCTTTTGTATGACAGTTCAATAAACAAGAAATGTTGGTTACATTAGTTACTGTCTGTTTCCTGTGGAGCCCCTAAGGGAACATGGTGATGGAAATATCTCTTTAAAACCTCTAGAATTTCATAAACAGAGCCAAAGCATAATTAACTTGCTTGTTGTCCAAGCAACTTGCAGTATTAATCTTTCAATGCTGAATGAATGGCCGATTTTGAATGAATTGGTTAAGTGAATGATCCAGTGACTCACTAGTCGTCACCAACTGGCATAATAATATGACTTTGCAGAAAGGAAACTGGAACTGTTTTATAATGTAATATTTATTTCAATAACTTTACAATTAATAGAATGTTGAGGTTAATGCTGCTGTCCAACCATGTTTAAAATGTTGGGTTAAAAATAGTGTTTAGTGGAAACTGATCTGTTGAAAAGCTATTAATGTAACTGAACTAGCAAGAGATATTTTCTTTTGTATTGTGACAAGAACAAAAATGTAGGACGGGGACAGTTCAAATGATTGAGTTATGACATTCCGATTAAAAATTGCAAGGTCAAGTTACATTTTTTTTTAACTAACTAATTTTTAAAGTGTAGATTGACTAGATGAACTTGATGAACTTTAAATTATGACCAGCTTGTAACTTGACAGGCTGCAGATTTAAAGCTTCCAACATTGTTACATAATGTCTGGTTTTCTCACCCACTCTTCTTTTCTTTTCACTCTAGTTATATGTAAGCATCCCGACTGGGTATTTAGGACTACAAATAGTACCTGTCACCGGGATATTTAACAGGATTTCCTACTCTTTTAGGCCGATGTCATCAAAATCTCACTATAGCCAGGCAACCCTGATGTTAGTATGATGCTCCACCCAAAAATGAAAAGTCTGTCATTTTCTCACCCTCATGCCATTTATTCCTGACTTTCTTTCTTCTGTTAAAAAAAAAAAAACTTTTGAAGAATGTTGATAACCAAACAGTTTTGGTTCCCATTGTAGCGAAGCAGCTCAAAGGGGAAATATGAATAATTAATCATAACTAGTTATAATTAATTATAAATATTTAGATCCGCTGTAAGCATTCATTTGACCTCTCAGTGTCAACTGTCTAATTTCCTGGTTAAGGGAAATAACTTTCTTACTGTACAATACTACTCAGAGCATGTAGCAAAAATCTGCATGATTAGGGACTCCAGTTATGAGCAAACAAGGAACAACGTCAAGTGTGATACAAGTAAGACTTTATTAACTACATAAACACTTAAACTAGTCTAACATACACATACACACACACACGGGTTAAAGCTTAGGCAGTAAAAAGAAGATAAATAAAAACATGAAGCTATGGTACCATTTGATATTCAGCAGATCTACAGCCTGAAGGAAACATCAGTTTCTTAGTTCAAACACACCTTTGTAAAAAGTTGCAAATGATACTTAATGTATCAATTAATAAGACTAAGTTTGATACTTGCACATCTTGTCTGTCTGAAAGAGAGTCCTGATGCAATCTGAAGGCTCAAGTTAATCTTTGCTGAGGTTTGTTGATGAAAAAGAGCCAGTTTGAGTCAGAGGATTTTGGTGAATGGAAAGTCAAGGCCGAAGTCTGGCACGAACATCCTCATCTTCTCAGAATCTAACAACCGCAGACTGGAGGCGGGTCACCGATGTGAGGCCTTTAAGGATTGACAAGATGCACGCCTCTCAGGATGAGCTTGTCCAATAAGAAAGGCTGAAATTCCAAGCGGGAGTTTGGAAATACTGGGGAGTTTTATGACCCTTTGTGTGAGAGCATGGTAATTTGCATATGAAACTTGAATCAAAATTAATAAAGATTCTTAGAACACTAATATATTGCCTATGTACCAACATATAATATACACTCTCGTTTAGATCATCAGAAGATGAATTTGTAGATACTAAACATGGTAGGATTACATGAACGTGTGGTTCTATCATAAGCCTGCATAAAACAGTATACAATATAAAAGACAATATACAAGGACAGGAACGACATACACAATGACCTGAAGGATATGCGTGTTCATTCAAAGAAAGGTTTTGAATTAATTAGAGAACAGTCCATTTCTCTGGGCATTATGTGTCTTTCCTATGAGGAAAATGAGTGAGTTTCTCTGCCCACATTCCTTTGGGCAATAAAAACCAGTGATATCAGCATTGGTTGCCATAGAACCAGAGGCCTGTTCTGCCTTTCAGAGGTAGAACGCATTTCGGGGGAAGGGTCCATAGACCCTCGTAATTGGCACTTTGTTTAGGTGAGGGGGTGTTAGATATTATTTGTTAAATATAACAAATAGTTGTGCGTCTGATTGGTCCAAATGCTACACCATTGACTTCAGTTGTATAATTTTTGTCCATACAGTGAAATTCAATGGAAACTGTAACTGTTTGATTAGTAAATGCTTACAGAGTTGTCAATTTTGGGTGGACTATCCCTTTAAAGCCTATCTTAACATAAAGACTGCTCTTACCGGTATTTGACAATAGCATGATTTTTGCATTGTACTGTAAGTAGTTTTGGTGAAAAGCATCTTCTAAGAACAGTGTATTCTTCTGTGTATGTCTCTTTAGATTTGCTGGGTATTCCTCCTGCCCCCAATAACGGCACACATGGCAGTTTAAACCATCTGCTGAAGAACCCACCCCACCAGCCGGTGTACCCCGCAGAGCACTCGGCACCATCAACATGCACCCCTGTTAGCGGCTTCTTGCAGGACCCTCGCGGCTGCACCTGTGACTCCCTCACTGAGGCTGAGGTCAGCACTTTTAAAAGTCAAGTCACCTTTATTTATATAGCGCTTTTAACAATACAGATTGCGTCAAAGCAGCTTTACAGTATTAAATCGGAAAATAGTGTGTCAATAATGCAAAAGGACAACAGTAAACACTCAATTTTCAGTTAAAGGCAGTTCATAATTGAATTCAGTGATGTCATAATCCAGCTCACTCAGTTCAGTTTAAATAGTATCTGTGCAATCAAGTCGACGATATCGCTGGAAAATAAGGGGGGGGGGGGGGCGCAGTTCTCCTCTGGCCAGACGAACCAGAGGTTGTTCCAGCATAGTCAGATT